CTGATTAATAGATTCAATGCAATTCCAATAAAAATCCCAGTGGGCTTTTTTTGGTGGATATTGACAAACTGTCACTAAAATTTACCTGAAACTGCAAAGGTATTAGACTAGACAAAACAATGTTGAAGAACGAAGCTGGAGGGTTTACTCTATCTGATTTTAAGACTTATCATAAAGTACAATAATCAAGATAGTGTGATATTGGCATTAAGATGGACAAACAGACCAATGGAAAAGAAAAGAGAGTCAGAAATAGACCTACAAATATATCATCAAATGATTTTTGACAAAGACACCAGTGTAATTCGATGAGGGAAAGGAAAGTCTTTTCAAGAAATTATGTTGGCTCAACTGGATGTCAGCATGGGAAAAAAACTCAGGCTTAATTCATCTCTCACATTTTACACAAGAGACAATTCAAGACGGATTAATGATCTAAATGTAAACGTTAAACCTATAAAGGAGTTAGAAGAAAATGTAGGAGAATATCTTTGCAATTAAGCGTAGGGAACAATTTTCTAGGCAGGACATAAAAAGAACTATAAAACAAAAAATTTGAAAACTCCTGCTCTTTTTTTTTTTTTTAAATTGTACTTTAGATGATGGTTTGCAGAGCAAATTAGTTTCTCATTAAACAATTAATATACATACTGTTTTGTGACATTGGTTGCCAACCCCACAACATGTCAACACTCTTCCCTTCTTGACCTTGGGTTCCCCATTACCAGCTTTCCTGTTCCCTCCTGCCTTCTCGTCCTTGCCCCTGGGCTAGTGTGTGCGTTTAGTCTCAGTTTGTTTTATGGGCCTGTCTAATCTTTGGCTGAGGAGTGAACCTCAGGAGTGAACCTCAGGAGTGAATTCAGTACTGAGTTAAAAGGGTGTCCAGGGGCCATACTCTTGGGGTTTCTCCAGTCTCTGTCAGACCAGTAAGTCTGGGATTTTTTTTATGAGTTTGAATTCTGTTCTACATTTTTCTCCAGCTCTGTCCGGGACCGTCTGTTGTGATCCCTGTCAGAGCAGTTGGTGGTGGTAGCCTGGCACCATCTAGTTGTGCTTGACTCAGTCTGGTGGAGGCTTGGTAGTTGTGGTCCATTAGTCCTTTGGATTAATCTTTCTCGTGTGTCTTTGGTTTTCTTCATTCTCCCTTGCTCCAGACGGGGTGGGACCAGTGGAGTATCTTAGATGGCTGCTCACAAGCTTTTAAGACCTCAGACTCTACTCACCAAAGTAGGATGTAGAACATTTTCTTTATAAACTGTGTTACGGCAATTGAACTAAATGCCCCTGCAGACCATGGTCCCCAGCCCTTAGCCCAGTAATTTGATCCCTCAGGGATAAAACTCCTGCTCTTTGAAAAACAATGTTAAGAAAATAACAGACTGAGCAAAAACATTTGCAATACATATAACTGACGAAAGACTCACATATGGATATGTATTACAAATCTTTACTGAAAAGACTTGGGTAAAAGACTTGGACACATACTTAAAAAAGATGATATCCAAAAGGACTCATACTCTCTCCTTCTTTCTTTTCTACCTTCCATCTCCGTTTATGGCCATCATCCTTATGTTCACAAGATGGCCACTGTACCTCCAGGCATTAGAACTGTGTCACAGGCAGAAAGAGGAAGGTAAGAATGTGATGAATCTGTATCTTTATGAGAAACCACATCTTTCCCACAAGCTCCACTTGATAGACTTTTGTTTATATTTCTCTGACTACAACTCAGTCACATGGCCAGACCTAGCTGCAAGGAAGCCTGGAAAACTGAGATTTTTTTTTTTAAGCTAGGTGGACTGCTTTAGTAAAGGAAATCAAGGTTCTGTTATAAAGAAAATGGGGGAATGGATATAAGTTAGGCAATTAGGAATCTCTCTTCTCTATCTGGGGGTAAACATCTTACAAAAGGAAAAGGAAAAGCAAACACAATGTACTCAACATGAAGAATGAGAGGCTGTATTGTGTAAGGCGCAAGGCAGTACAGTGAGCCTCCTAGTCCTGGCTCTGCACCGACTTGCTACGGGACTGGTCTTCAGGTTCTTCCTCTTTAAGTCAGACACTGGAGTAAATAACCTACAAGCCTCTAGAACCTATTATGGGAATTAACTTTTATGATAAATTGCTTATGTTCAACGGCTCATTTAGATCTCATAACAAATATATGAGTAGGAATAATATACGAACATTATTTCATTTTACACTGGAGGATGCTAAATCTCAGAGAGGCTAAGTGGTGTGCCCAGATCGTACTTCTAGTAAGTGGCAAAGCCAGAATTCCAACTAAAGTCTGCAGGCCTCAAGGCCAGAGACTTCTTTCCATTGTTCATCTTTTCTCAAAAAGTAAAATGAGCTCATTCATTTTTATTTACTGAATTTTAAGGTCATACTTTCTAAACCACTTCCAAAGTGTAGCATGGTACCACCTGCAGCAGAATCACCTGGGGTGCTTTTTGCAAATGCACATTTATGGGCCCCCTCCAAATCAATGGAAGCCAGACTCTGGGGGCTAGACACTGGGATCTGCATTTTTAAAAGCTCCCCAGGTAATCTGGAGACATTTTAAGGTTTGAGAACCACCATTTTAAACTTAAACAGTTTATTGTTCCTTTCTAATGCAGTTTATTTGTGGATCCATGGCTCATGGAAATTTCTTCTGAATATCAGGAAAATAAAATTTAAAAATAGTCTGTTCCTCCTTCCTCTTCCTCAGTTTTGTATTGAACACAGTCAGTTTCATGGAAAATGTTAAGGACCTGGAGGTGTGTCATGGAAGATATCTTAACATGGATTGACTGAGGCTCTATAAAGCAAAGGCACAGATTATTATGAACATAAACGTTGAATAGAATCATACAGAGCTGGAAGGGGGATAGGCAAAGGAAATGGCATTAACTAAATATTTACTATGTTCCAGACACTGTTCCAGACACATTGCATCATTTAGGGAATCCAAGACATGTGATTCAATCCCTTTTATTTATAAATGGGGTAGGTATTACAGTATTATTATCTCTATTTTAGAGATGAGGAACCTAAAGTTCAGAGAGCAGTCACTTGTCCAAGGTGAATCATTCATTCATTTGTACAATAAGCATCTCTTGAGAGCTCTTATTTTATGCAAGACGTTGAGAATAAAGCATCAAAAAGACAGTCTAGAGACCCCGTATGTCAAAGGGCCGTGACTTACCCACCAAGTCTCCATTGAAGAGACTGGAAGGGAGAGAGCAGATTGGGGCTGGAGCCGCCCAGAAGCAGTTTCTTCCTGGCTGATCTGCTTGCTGCAGCTAGCAAGAGTACCAGCTTGTGGCTGATGGTCCAGAGCTCCTCAGAGATGTTTTAGCAGTAGCTGCATGCCTAGTTTGGGGGTTCAGTGGATACCATGCCTTTACCTTTTTGGGGGATGGGGAGCAGGGTAGGGGCCTGAAGAGAGTGCCTCGAAATAGAACTTACAGGGGGCTAAGGGAACCTAAAATCTCATCATAATCTCTCAATAACCTTGGAAGGTAGATATTATTTCCATTTTATAGGTGAAGAAACAGGCTCAGAAAGGCTAAGTGACTTGCTCTTTAAATGTTCTAATCAGGAGTGAACAGAGCAGGTCCAATACCCCAGTCCAATACCCCCACCCGTCCTACTTGTCAGCTCACTGAGGGAAGTCTTCACAGATGGGTGAAATGCTCAGCCAGAGGCGCGAACCTAGTTTACAAATCGATACTCGAGGCTGGTTCTGATTCTTTCAACCAACGTTTATTTAACTCCAAGTTCAAATCACACAGAAAATAAAATTGTTTTCTCCTTAAAAGGTTCTGCGGAAAAATGTTCTGTGTTCTATGTAACAGCCTTCTTGGCTGTGTTTGTGTCTGAAGAAAGGACTAGTCTGACAGGAAGAATTATAAATCTGGAGCTCATTTTGGCGTCCCAGCGGGAAGGTGGGTGGAGCGTCTCACAGTAAATTAGGAATTCAGAATGAAAACGTAGTTGAGTTTATTTGGGTTTTTAGTGACACCTCAGAATTATTGTACAGGCGTGTCAAGAAGGCTCAGGGTAATGACTGCTTCCCCTACGCCCCGCTGGAGAAGGGGAATCCTCCTTCTTTGGTGGTGGCGGCAGGGTGTGTGTGTGTGTTGGGCTGGGGGGGGGGGTGCAGGGGCGGTGTGCTTCCCTTTCCAACCTGAATGTGGAAGTGGGGAAGACGGGTAGTTTGGAGCCCTGAGTCTTCTATGAGTTCTGGAGGGAGGCGGGAGGCTATTTGGGGTTGTGTCTGAGCTCAGGATCTGGGTCCGAGGCTGGGCTCGGAGACCAGGATTTGGCAACTTTCTGAGCCTGGAATTTGGGCTAGAGCAGGAGGAAACAGGAGACTGAGTCTCATAGGAAGGGCACCGAGTAAGGGTTTTGAGGGGACAGATGTTGAAAGCTGAAGTATGGATCTGGGGACGGGGAGTTGAAGCCTGAATGCAGGGGCCTGGCGACACTGCGGATCTGGGTGGAATGTATTAGGGAATGGTGGTGCAGGGCTGTGAATGGGGCTCAGGATGGGGTGGAGGTCAGTACCAGATCCTCGGTGTGTAGAGGAAGCTAGAAGAAAAGACCGTCGAGGGGCCACAGCCTTTTTCCGAAGACTCACAGACACACCCATCGCTCAGTCCTCGCCCTCTGGGACAAGAGATACCGCAGGACTGGGGCTGGCGAGACCCTGCCCCAACCAGGCCGCCTCCGAACCTGGAGCAGCGCGGGCTGGGGCTGGGGCTGGGGTCTGACCGCCCTGCCCCCGGGGAGTGCTGGGGGCGTGGCCTGCGGCCGGGCGCCCGCGGCTCAGGATTGGCTGCCAAGCGGGCCCGCGGGCGGGGCTCCCGGCTGGGTTTCGCCGGGCGGCTCGCAGACTGCCGGGAGGCGGGGCCGGCGGGAGCCTGGTAGCCAATGGACGCACCGCCCCGGAGCAGTTACAAAGGGCCGGAGCCAGGCCGCAGCGGCGGCGGCGGCAGCGGCAGGGGAGGTGGGGCGAGGCGAAGCTTGCTGAGGCGAGGCGGCGGCCGGGCCGGGCCGGGCCACAGGCGGCAGCGGCGGCGGGACCATGGAGGCAGCAGCTGCTGCTCCGCGTCCCCAGCTGCTAATCCTCGTGCTGGCAGCGGCGGCGACGCTGGTCCCAGGGACGACGGGTGAGTGGCGGCGCTGGCGGGCGCGCGGGCCGGGCCCGGCCTCTGGCTCGCTCCTTCTCTTTCTCAAACATGGCGCGGGCCGGGGGCGCAGGTGGCGGCGCCGGGGCCGGGACTTGGGCGCGGACTGGGCCTCCTTGGCCCGACCCGGCCACCGCCACGGAACCGCAGGCGCGGTTGGGAGGCTGGCCGGGAGCATATGTCCGAGCGCGAGTGAACGCCTGGCAGCCCGAGCCCGCCCCCGCTTCGGGCTCCTCCAGAGAGGTGGCGTCGGGCGGGGCCGTCCGAGGCCAGGGGCTGCGCTTAGCGGTGTGAGTGGGCGAGGGCCCAGGACTGAGGGTGTGAGGCTGGCCGGGGCTAGCAGAGCAGGGGCTTACCCCAACCTCCGCCGGGGACTATGTGGCAATGTCCCTGGTATCCCCACCCCAAGCGAGTTGGTGCCTGAGGCCCCCAGGGCCCGGGGCGGGGTTGGGGTCCGAGGAAGCTTCCCGGGGAGGGTGTGAGCTCTGAGCCTCAAGGGTTCCCCAAGCAGTGAGAGGGAGCGACATGTGGCTGAGACCCCCCCCCCCGCCGCCGCCCGGGTCATTAGGGCTGCCCCCGGCTTTTGCCCTGGCCCGACCCTGCTGAGAGGGGCTGCTTCCATAATCTGGGTGCCTTTGGAAAGGGAACTGGGAAGCTTTGTGTGGAAGGAGGCACGAAGATGTGCGGAATGTTTCTTCTTTCGTGCGTGTGGGAAGTGTTGAAGTGAATCCAGTAACCAGACGCCTGCGGCTTGTTTTCATAGTAGAAACTTGAACGTTTGCTCACTCTGCGGGGTTTGGACTGTTTGAATGAGAATTACTCTGTGAATTGATCAAAAGCTTTTATTTCCTCGAAGAAGAATGTTCGCTAGTGATCTTTCTTTTCCTCAGTGACAGTAGTTTGAATCAGGCATCTGCGTAGCTGGTTTTCAAGGGAGAATGCTTAGTTTTCCAAAATACTAAATCAGGATGGGATAGGTGGTCATCTATCCCGATGGAGGACGGAGTGAAAAGCTTAGTGTTAGCAACCAAACGACAATACTGGCAGCTAAAATATAGAGACTTAGTTTTAGTAACTGAAATATAGTAAAAGTACATTTCTATTTCTGAAATAGGACACTCTCTTTTAAAAAACAAGCAAAAAAGCTGATAACAAAAGACTCAACCCAAGGCTGAGGGTGTCAGTTATTAGTCTGAATAGCTACTGTCTGTTACGAGCTTACTATGATGTAGATACATAAAGTACATCAGCTATTCCTCACAACTGAACCTTCAAGGCTAGTGGCATTTGCCCCCATTTTATAGATGAGAAAACTGAAGTGAGAGATTAACTACTCATTTATTAAGTGCTGCAGTTAGGATTTGCATCTTTGCATCCAGGGCTCTGTCTCCAAAACCTATACACCTTATACACACCAAACTGTTTCGCCTGGCCCATTTTTCTTGTTCAGTCATCTGATAGTGATCTTTATTATTCACTTTTAGATTTTGGCCTCACAATTTGAATATCAGGTTGCCTTCTTTCTGACTCCCAGCACATTCCTGAATCCATTTACACTGAGACTACAAGAGAAAACAACGGATTTTTGATATTGGCCTAAGGGGAAGAGAGGGAGAGAATTGTGTGGACAGGTGGTAGACTGAACATAGTTATGGGTCAAACATTAATGACGTTGCCACACCACTATTAACTTAAACATAATTCACTCTTTTCCACTTATTGTAGTTACAGAATATTCATGTATTCAAGTAACAGTATTGGACTTAATTGAGTACAGAACATTGCTCAATCCATGCCCTGAAGGAGTTTATAGAATACATTGACATGCATAGAATAGAACGCTGATCCAGATGCTTATTACTCCAAGCCCAGACTACCTCAACTAGTATACCTGCCCTGATTATTCATATTGATGTTTCACTTCATCCTGTTTATACATACTGAAGAAGTTAAGCTCAAATGCTTCCCCCACCGCCCCTTGGATAATTGGCTTGCTTATTCAAGAACTTGTAGTTGTTCCCTATTGGCTAGGTGTTAGTTTTATATTTCTCTGCCTAGCTTCTACTCTCTACTGAGTGCAGTTTCATACCGCTGTGTTTACGTATATATCCCATGTGAGAATACTGGTTCTTTTCTACCATTTCATAACTTTTTTCTTTTAAAACCCAACTCTTTTTCATATTAATGCCTCTTGAGTATGTCTCTTTCTTTGTATGCAGCCATCAACTTAGTTCTGCCGTTATCCCTCAAATCTAGTTGCTTTCCGTTATTGCTCTTATCTAGTCTTTTCTATAGGCTTCTGCCAAACTAATCTTCCTCGGTGATCCCCAGAAAGGGTTTACAAGACTTCCCATTTGTATTCAGTGCTTAGAGCATACACTTTAGACTGATGATTAGGACCATTCGTGGAGTATCAAGCCAGAGAATCTCACTTCTCACTACTGCAAACCCTCAGTTCCAGCGGTTTTTGTTTTCCCCGCTGACTCCTGACTGCTCAGTGTTTCCACTACATAATTAATTTTGTCTCCTTGTGGGGGTGGAGCCCTGGTCACGCAGTGGTTGAGAGCTCAGCTGCTAACCAAAAAGGTTGGCAGTTCTGATTGGTTGGTACCCTTGCAGTGCCAGTTGTTACATATTTTTACTATTACCCATGGCGGCTTCGATATTAAAAGAGGAAAATGGTTAGTGTAGACTGAAGTGACTGGGGAAGGCTTCCTGGACACTTTAGAACTTAAGCTGATTTTGAAGGGTGGCTAGAATTCAGATGGGCAGAGAGGGGGATTTGATAGGTCTTAAGTTTTTTCTGTATAAGCTGTGTCCCCAACTTGTACATGGCTGCAAGCAAAGCTTTTATTGAGTAGCTGGCAACTTACTCTTTAGAGTTAGGTCCCTTATTCTGTAATATTCTGGGGTTTGGATATATTAACCACTGTTATTTTTTCCTAATTCTAAGAACTATGCTCTGTGACTGGAAACAGATAGGAAGGTAATCTTAAGTGGCATGAGTGAAGGAGAATATGGAGTGCCCACCAGGGCTAGGCATTCTAAAGGTGAAAGTGTTAGTATCACTTCAGTTTACAGATGGGAAAACACAGACTTGGAGAGATTAGAAGAATTTCTCAGGGTTGCACAACAAATGAGAGGCAGAACTGAAACAGGGACTTTGATTTTCTGATTCCAAATATTGTGCCCTATAGGACACTTGAAAATGTAAAGGACTTGGAGGTGAGGGAGGAACAGGGTTAATGGAGTGACTTCCCTAAGTGAAGATGGTCTTGAACCTCACCTAACTTATGAAGGAAGAGTGAATTTTGAACGTAGAGGAAGGGACAATAGTTATTGGTTATAAAGTCCTCAAGGGAAAGGTCATTGTCTTTTTTCCATTGCTAATAAAAGGACCTGGTATATTGCTTACTGATTGAGAAAAGTAGGTTTATGTAGTCTGGAAGATGGTGAGACAGTATTGGATAAGTAGAGTTTAATTGAACTGGGGTATAGTTATAATTGAAAAGCCTTGAGGTGCATGGTTAAGTTTAGAATTTAAGATGATTTATTTTGTTGTTGCAATTAAATGAGGAATTGACATGATCAAAATAATCATGGGGGAGATAAATCTTATTCCTGTGGGGATGCCAGCTTGTGTATGGGAGAAACCTGTTGAAAGGTTCTAGGCCTAGTTGAAAATAGTTATCCAGACTCAACAACATTCTTTGAGTACCATTATATTGCATCAAATATGTTCATGTCTAATGAAGTGAGTTTTGAAAATACCATTATCTTATGGATGGCCCTTTTGATGTGAGAACATTTCTCTTCAAACCACAGAGCGCCTGCAGATGTTGACAAACTGCAAGCCTTTTGCTGTTCTGTCTTGGTCAGGGCTTACATAATAGCAGCCTTCTCTGAACAGATGGACTGTGGTTTGGTATCATGTGATTGGGTCACATCTTTGCTTCCTGCTTCTGGAATTGAGGGCAGATGCTGGCATGTTTCTTGTGGATTTTTATGCATTGTCCCATTGTTGGCTCTAGGAAACTTTTAGAGCCTTCTCGAAATTGATGATCTATCTTGACCCAGTTGAAGTCCAATACTTCGGATACTTTTAAGTGCCTCTCTCAACTGAATTTTCTACTATCAAATCCAAGCAGTCTCCGTAAACATTTAAATTTGCTGCTACTCTGAATTAGATCCAGTTTTAGCTGTGTGGTTTGGTTTGGCCCAGATAATGCAGGTAGGTTTCTTGTGGTTACTCTTTTTTTGGTATGAACTTGTGATTGGTTGACTTGTAGGTTTTTTGCCTGACTTGCTTTCCTAAAACATTAGAGGGGTAAATCTGATTGGTTTTATGGGTCCAATTTCATAGACTAGATCTGGCCCTTTGTAAAGCTGCTCCCTCATTTTGACAATCTGAGAGCAATACATATTATAAAGAATGATTTCTAACTTACTAAAAAACTGTGACTTGCAGAGTATATATGCACAGGTTGCTTTGCCATTTCTTGATGGTTCATTGGCCTTTGCACCGTTTTATTAATCTGAAACGTATATAAGACTGTACCAGGCATTCTGCTTGCCTTGTCTCATTTAATTGTCATAACAACCCTGGATGATAGTTGTATAACAAACAGTACAAAAGCTGCTTGCTTATTTACAGGTTAATTTACAAAAGATTCTTTTTAAGTCCATTTATCCTCAGGTTTGGACCTGGGTCACCAATGCGTAGGTATCTAAGTAAAGTTAAACTCAAGAGAACTGTAAATTTTGATGACATTGGTTCTAACCCAAGATTCTTTTCTACTGTCAAACATTATCCAAAGGTGTTAGCATTTTGTCTTTCATCCTTTAATCATAAACATACTTATAAAAGGAAGACACTACTTCAGATAAAATAGATGTAGACTAACAGTGGTCCAGCCACTGAGGAAGAAATGATTGTGCATTACCTTTAACTCCATGTGCTGTGGGAAGGCAGAGTTGACAGG